GATTCCGAGAAAAGCACAGGATAACGGTCCAGCGGGTAAGACTTCTTTGTTGTCGTGCCGACAGTGCTCATTCGGTGGGGGGGGGACGGTATAGGGGTGGGCAGAAAACGTGCGACCGTTGTACAGTACCAGTATGAACTAGCTGTGAATTCCCTTTGTCTCGCCCCAAGCTTCAACATCGAGAAAAACGTAACGCGGAGGAGGCGCCCACCATGGAGACCACTCATTCGACCAAGTGGTGGTAAGCATCACTTAAGAAATATCCCGCCGGTCCATGGTTGACGATACCTGCAGACCGAATGCGCACCGAAGAATAATGGAGACCAGCCTTCCCGAAAAGGAACGTCATCGCATTTCATGTCTTGGGGGTCGACACAAACCCTCGGACAAAAAAGTAGAAGTACGAACGATGTGAAACATAGTAGGCGGCAGCGGTAGATAGACGAGCAACGATAGGTTTTCTTCCGGAATAGGACGCGCTACCGTCCGAAGCAAGAGCGAGCGTGGAACATATCGTCGAAAACAACGGACGCAAGCAACTCCTATATATTATATGTCAATGGCTATGCATACGGTGCATGCCTGATGATACGACATTGCGAATGTCCCCGCCGAAATAGAAGCAATGCTGGAACCATATTTGTAGGACGTCGTGCTCGGGCCGTTGCAGTCCGTTGAAGTGCACCCGTGTGATCTCAGAGGGGGAAAAAAAAAAACTCCCCGCGAAGCAAGAAATGGGCCACGTCGAACCCCGCGACGAATTCATTGTTATCCCGATTTAGTCTACGTGTACGGCGGTGAGCTACAAACAAACATGGTAGCGTTTGGGCTTCACCACGGTGTCCCTTGAGCCCAACAAATGCTGAATCCGTTCTCGTATCGGCAGGCTTTATGCTGCTGTAGTGCTTCTCGTTCGCAAATTGCTTGCTGCTGTCATACGTATGGAAAATGGAAAATGCTGGTATCCAGCAGTAATTCCCATGGTTGGTATTTGTATTTGATACATGCACAAATACACACTCCACACTGACTGCAGGTATTGTACCTAAAAGCGCCAGCTCTCGAACACCGCAAGTCGGTGACAACACACGCACGCGCGCATCTAAGAAAGGAGGAAAAAAATGAAGCTTGACCCAAGTTTCAAAATGAAGTCCAGATTACACATTAACCCCCACCACTACACACCTACACCCCTTTTACATACATTTCCTCTGACGTCTCCAGCTCTGTCTAGAAAACGCCGCAATTAAACCCCCAAGCCAAGATCGATCATACTTACAGGGCCTGCCTCAGAACGAAAAACCAGCTCTTGTATCATAAGTGAACAACGGAAGAAACAACGGAGAAAATCTTCCTTAAGCATCTCGACAACGACCAAAACGACAATCATAAGCCACAACTTTAAAGGACGCCTACTTTGTCTACATAACTCAAAAAATAATTTCGTCAAGATACGAGAGAAATCTTCCGAGCATAGGAATACGTCCAACAACCTCGGGGGGGGGATCAAACGCGTCATAACACTTCTTTAAAAGTCGCGACCCTCAAGGAACACCCCAATACACCAACGAACAGCTCTTCCAGAACCTGAAGAGGTGCTCAAGAGGCACTAACCTGCACACGATATCAGAACGAATGACAAAACAACTCAAACCTTGCACAAAACGTTAACAATTCACAGACGGGGATACTTACGTACAGCAAGTGTTGACGAGCACCCGCACCACCTTCGAAGTTGATCTCCCATCCACACTCATGGGTACCGCAGTGGAGATGACTGCATATTCAGAACCCAAATGAGAGCAAACGACGGTATCTCAAACAGCGGTTATTCCGACGACGGTTTTCACTTCTCGACGGGTACGCCAACCGCCACCGGCATCTCCTCGACCTTCTCTTCCCCCGCGTGCTGCGCGTTAGACACGTACGGTTGCGGCTGCCCGGAGGCGTAAGGCTGGTTGTTCGGCAGTCCGTGTGGGTTTCCTGTTGAGGGAAGAAAAACGTGCGGATTACGCACAACGCGGGGGGGGTGCAAATGAATTCAGATCGTGACACAGAAAAGTGCAGGGTATAGCGCACGCCGTACGATACATCCTTGCCGGTACTACATTCGTCGCCTGAGACTGGAAGGGATGCACCCTACTTCAAAACAAAACCTTCACCTTGGTGATGCGGTGGTGTGCTGGATAGTCTACATGACGTTATCTCGAGTAGAGGGCGATAGAGGTACCGCCCCAATCTTCTCTGCCATTGGTTTTCCTAGCGACTTGCGAAGGGGGAGATCTGCAATCCCGTTCACCCCCTCCGGTGGTGGCACTAGGAGTACGTTGGGGGAGCGTTGTGATTTGTGTGGGAAGACGTGCTCGTGATTCTGCCCTGAGGTGACGTAGAGAAATCCCGTAGCTATTTAGCTTCACGTGGCGACACAACCTGATCGTCAAGCTTCCTCCTGTTGCTGGGAGACGGGGATTCTGATCTGCGTTGTTCACTAGGATATGTGTAAAGAGAAAAAAAAAAAATGACCTCAGAGAGCGGCGAGACTGAAGATGCGTTGTTTGAAGATGGAACCGGCCACATGATCTCTTCACGTGTTCTCGAGCTTGGCGACCCAATGTATACCCTCACCTTCGCAACCAGTCTTCTTTTGGTTTCATCGAACAAATCACAGCAAGCGCACACGGTGCTGGTTCGAGGGGAACAATTCTAACACAACCGCACCCTTCGTCTTCTGCTTTGCGACCGATTTCTTGCACTCACACGCCCAGCAGTATGCCGTTGACATAAACAACACAACACTGCGAGCACACGGCCGAAATGGTAGGAGTGTAGGCCGTGGTCCGAGGAGAGTCGGAGAAGGCTGTACGAAAATCATGCAACAGAGAGGAAAGCGTCGACCTCGTACGTAGTCGCGCCGTTGCACCCGAAGACATCATACCGCCACCACCCTTGACGTGCCACCTACGCAGCATACCTTGGTGTCTTCTGTTGTTGTTGTGGTTGCCCTTCTTCTTCTTCTTGCCGACCTTCCTCTGCAAGAAGCGAAACGCCATGAAGAGCATTCCGAGGCGCCCGCAGCCGAACGTTCCCGGCCCGACGTGGCTGCCTCTCATTCGGGGACCCTTGGCCCCGCCCTTGGAATAAACGCCTCCGCCATGGTCTACACCGTGGCCTGCTCTCCTGCCCCCCTTGCCGGTGCCTTTTCCTCTCCCCCCCCCTCCCCCCTTGCCCCTGCCTCCTCCTCCGCCCCTCCCCCTTCCACCCCTCCCCCCACCGCCCCTCCCTCCTCCGCCCCTTCCTCCCTTGTGCTGCTGCTTCTTGTTCTGATGTTGGTTGTTGTGGTGCTGTTGTTGGTGCTGGCGTGCGCCGGGTGCGCCGGCAGTACCGCCGCCGCCGCCGTCGCCGCCTTCGACGGGGACGGCAACTGCTGTCGCCATCGCTGGCTGTGCCTCGGACGCTTTCGACTCCTTTCCCATGGTTGACCTGGCTGGCACGCGCCGAGCATAGAGGGCGCACGTTGGGCGGCAAACCGATCATGTGGGATTTCGAGTGCAGAGAGGTACACATGTCGCAACGCTCTTGGGTATTGCATACGTATGCGGTGCGTCTCTTGCTGTTGCCTCGTCCTCTCGGGCTGTAAGCCAGCCACAGCACGTCTCGCAAAAGTCAACTCCGAATCAGCCACGTTTAAAGCTGCTGGACCCCACCAACCCGCACGAGACCCGCCCACAACGGTTAAATTGTTGGGTTGCTTCGCAGCACCTTTTGCGCTGTCCATCTGCCTGCAGGGCAACACCCAAACACCCTCTCCCACCAACCCAAAACAACATCGGCAGGCTGGCACGGCAGACTTTTGCAGAAGACATGCAAGGCGCCCTCCACCCAAGACGCCTCTCGAGGACGCGTGGCCAATCGCCAAGCAGGCAGGCAAAGAACCAGTACCCCCCCCCCCCCCCCCCCCCCCCCCCCCC